CTAAGAAAATGCAGTACATTTTGGATTACACTTGCACAAATCGTGGTTAGACATGCATGGATCATAGGGGATCCGGATCCCTGGAAAATTCTATTCTTTTTTTAAATTGTCATAGTAAAATTACTAATGCTATGTCTCAAATCCTTTTCCCCTTCCGATTTGAGCCACCACCTCCTAAAGAAATTTTCTGGATCCACTTAACCAAAAAATTAAAATCGGGCTCGGGGTTTCGATTTGAATATAGCCGATAATGCTTAAATTATAAATATCGCTGTCATTTGTGTGTTTTAATGCAGAGAGAAAATACTTGTGTGATATTGGGATGAGATGGACGCGCTGGCGCGCCGAATACAATTAGCCTTTGTCACCACTAGTACAGGCATATAATAGCACTAGACATGAAAGTACCGGACAGTCCCCACATTTCCTGATGTTCGGAAGATAGCCCCGATTGCCAGTGGACTTAGTTTTTTGGCTGAACAACAGTGAAGGGAAGTCGCTGACAAAGTATGTAGCTGATTTAAGAACCAGAATGAATGCAGCATACAAGTTGGCCATGGATTCAGCAGAGAAAGCTAGGAAAAAACAGGGTGAGTACTATGACTTAAAGGTACGGGGTGCAAATTACAGGTTGGCGACAGAGGTCTTGTTAAAGTCTTGGCATTCGATGGAAAGCACATGATAGCGGATAGATGGGAAGAGGAGCCCTATTTGATTCACAACCAACCAAATCCTGATATCACAGTCTTTGTGGTGAAGAGGGAAGATGGCATTGGGTTGATTGATTGATTGTATATTGTTTAACGTCCCTCTTGAGAATTTTTCACTCATATGGAGACGTCACCGAATGCCGGTGAAGGGCTTCAAATTTAGACCTATACTCGGCACTCTGGGCCATTGAGCAGTGAGGGTTCTTTATCGTGCCAGCGCCTACCGTGACACGGGACCTACGTTTTTAAGGTCATATCCGAAAGACCCGTGACTTTCACCTCTAGTGCCGAGCGCTTGGCGAAGGAACAGTCACTACCTTTTTTTACGTCTTAGGTATGACGCGGCGCCGCGAACGAGAATCGAACCCGGGCCTCCCGATCACGAAGCGAACGCTCTACCACTAGGCTACCGTGACCGGTAAGATGGCATTGGAAGAACTTAGACTCTTCATAGGAAGCTATTACTGCCAATTGGATGCATCGACCCAGAAGAGCAGGAAAAGATTCTCAGTAGACCAAAACCTAAACCTAGGAAAAGGAAGCCGGAGCCGCTGAACACACCAAGAGTAGAAGCAGATCAAGCTGGAGAGGAACATGTAGTAGAAGAAAGTTCCAGTGTCTCCAGTAACCAAATCGGTTAAAGGAGTATCAGTTTACCAAGTAAGTACTGATGACAGGAGTAAGAGTAAAGTAGATATCCTTAGACAAATGTTGGAGGATACTGACGTTCCAGAGGAAAGATTGATCTTATTGAGAGATCTGATGGACCTGATTATCAAACTTTAGTACAACTATGTTTTTATGACTTTATTGTATATAGCAGATGATGTTGCGCTGAGATTAATTAAATGACAGGGACGTCATTTCTCAAGCGGGGGGTGTCAGGTATCAGCATTCTTAACTGTTTCTGATATGTTTATCTTTATTTTGCTGAATGAACTGATCGTGAGAATCTAGCCACACAGACAGTTTCACAGGATGCATTTGTTTATGCAGCTGTACATTAAGCCCGCATGTTAATACTCATTATACTGTATATCACTGTAGCACTAGGGAAATTAATCAGTTGTAGTTTCGACCGTCACTGTAGACACATGCTTTAATAAATATATATATCAAAACGTGGAATTCCTTATTTATTATATTCAGTGGAAGAATATTACATTTGGCGACGAGGATAAACTTTTATATTTGCTATTAACTCTTTGAAATTGATAAGTGACTTTCACCATGCCTACTTACGGAAAATTAACCTCATATGATGAAAGTGAAGACTGGATTCAATACATAGAGAGACTAGAAAGTTATTTTAAGGCCAACGATATAACGGACAAGGCAAACAACGAGATATTTTACTTAGTGTTATGGGAAAAGTACATACAAACTGGTGAGGGATCTATTGGCGCCATTCAAACGTGGTGAAAAGGGGTATTTGGACATAGTGAAAATGATCAAGGATCATAAACACCCTGACCCATCAGAAATTATTTCACGCTTTAAGTTTAATAGTCGTGTGAGGAAACAGGACGAGTCGGTCAGAGAGTACGTAGCTGAATTGAGGAGCTTGTCCGAGCATTGTAAGTTCGGAGAAACACTGGAGACAATAATGCGAGACAGACTGGTGGTTGGGATAAACGACGACAGGATCCAGAGGCGGCTGTTAAGCGAAACCAAGCTTAATTTCAAGGAAGCCCTGGAGATCGCCACAGCTATGGAAACTGCTGTTCGAAACGCCAAGGATATCCAAGCTAGTGCCCCTGCGTCAGCCATCAACAAAGTCGGAAAACATGCCCGGAAATTCCCTGTTCCGGAGAACAAGGACTGCTATCGTTGCGGCGAGAGCCATGCACCATCACAGTGTATACTTAAGGATTCCAAGTGTCATAAGTGCAAGAAAAAAGGCCACATTGCGAGAAAGTTTAGGTCACACAGTGACTCTGGGAGGAAATTCACAACAAAACCAAAAAGCGGTAAGACACATTTTGTTGACCAGTACACCGATTCAAGCAATGATTCTGACAGTGATTGTGCATATGACATGTTTCATCTGGAAAACAAAACGAGTATCAAGCCGTACAGAGTTGCTGTGAATATTAATGGATGCACGACACACATGGAAATAGATACCGGAGCCTTCATAAGTGAGGAGACGTACAAAGATATTGGTAAGCCAGATTTACAGGAATCGAAGGCGAAGCTGAAAAATTACACTGGAGATGAGATTCCGATATTAGGGACTTGCAAAGTTAAGGTAGAGTACAAGTCAAAATCGGTAAACATACCAATCACTGTAGTTAGAAACTGGGGACCGAGTCTTATGGGACGTGACTGGTTGGGAGAGTTTCAACTGGATTGGAGCGAGATATTTTCTATATCGGAATTAAACAAAGGCGAGGGACTCAAGAAAACACTAGACAAATTTGAGGATGTTTTCCGAGACGAATTAGGAGCAGTTGAAGGAATGAAGGCTAAAATCTACGTTGATCAAGCAGCACAGCCCAGATACTACAAAGCCAGACCGGTACCATACGCAATTAAGGAAAAAGTTGAGCAGGAACTGGACCGTTTACATAAGAGCGGCATAATAAAGCCAGTGAAATTTTCGTAATGGGCGGCTCCCATAGTTCCAGTAATGAAGGGAGATGGATCCATAATAATCTGTGGAGATTACGAAGTTCCGTTAATGCCGTGTCTAAACTGGATAACTATCCGATTCCAAAAGCGGAGGATTTATATGCAACCTTAGGAGGTGGCGATGAATTTACCAAGCTTGACATGAATCAAGCATATAATCAGCTTCTCCTGGAAGATGAATCTAAAAAATATGTGACAGTGAACACCCATAAACGATTATATCAGTATAATCGCCTTCCATATGGAGTGTCATCAAGTCCAGGGTTTTTCCAGCGGACACTGGAGAATCTGCTTCAAGGAATTCCGAATGTGTTGATACGTGTCGATGACATACTAGTCACAGGTCGTACAGCTAAGGAACATTTGGAGAATTTGGAGGGAGTTCTGAAACGAATTCAGGATGCAGGAGTTCGACTCAAGCGACGTAAGTGCGTATTCATGGCACCTGAAGTTGTGTATCTTGGGTACAAGATAAACAAGCAAGGAATCTACCCCGTTGCGGAGAAGGTGACTGCAATAAAGAATGCACTAAGTCCGACTAAAGTTACCGAACTGAAAGCGTATCTCGGAATGCTCAACTACTACAATCGGTTTCTACCCGATTTAGCGACAACATTGAATCCTTTGCACAAACTGTCGCAGAAAAATCAAAAGTGGATGTGGGGTAAGGAGCAAGAGGTAGCTTTTCAAAAATCAAAGGATCTACTGCAATCCGACAAAGTGTTAGTGCATTATGATCCATGTAAAAAATCGATACTTGCGTGTGATGCATCGCCATACGGAATAGGAGCAGTCCTATCTCATCAAATGGAGGATGGAAGCGAGCGTCCCATTTCCTATGCGTCACGTACCTTGACCGCGGCCGAGAGAAATTATTCTCAATTGGAGAAGGAAAGTTTGTCCATCATATTTGGCATAAAGAAATTCCAGCAGTATTTGTTTGGGCGACCGGTGACAATCGTGACAGATCACAAACCGCTCATTGGGTTGTTTAGGGAGGACAAGCAAATACCATCAATGGCTGCTTCAACAATTCAACGCTGGGCCCTAACATTAGCAGCTTATGAATACCGTATTGTGTACAAAGAAGGACGAAATCATGGAAATGCCGATGGATTGAGCCGACTTCCCTTAAAAACCAAGGAAACGGACACCCCTATGCCGTTGGACACAAGCATGATCCTAAATCACATTGATGAGCTACCCGTGACGTGTAAGGACATCAGACTGTGGACACGGAGAGACCATGTACTATCAGAGGTACTTCATTTCATTTTCAACGGCTGGCCTGATAAATGTCCGGAAGAAGAATGTAAACCTTATTTTGAACGTCGGACTGAATTGAGCAGCAACGACGGTTGTATATTATGGGGTAATAGAGTGGTCGTTCCAAGTCCGGGGAGGAAATGCATGATAGATGAATTACATGGAGACATCCTGGAATTAACAGAATGAAAAGTTTGGCCAGGAGCTACGTGTGGTGGCCTAACATGGACAGTGAATTAGAACGCTGTGTTAGGGAATGTGAGGACTGTCAAGTCAACATGAAAAACCCCGCTCTAGCACCATTACATCCTTGGGAATATCCGAGTAAGCCTTGGTCAAGGCTACACAAATTTTGCAGGGCCATTTATGGATAATATGTATTTTGTTATAATGGATGCGTACTCAAAGGGGCTCGAGGTCATCGTGATGAAAAACATCACTACCCGCACAACAATAGACAAATTGCGGAGCGTATTTGCAACTCATGGATTACCCGAAGTAATCGTTTCCGACAACGGACCACCATTTACAAGTAAAGAATTTGAACAGTTCATTGCCAAAAATGGAATTCAGCACATTAAAACACCTTATCACCCCTCAAGCAATGGATGTGCAGAACGGGCAGTTCAGACCTTTAAGACCGCCATCAAGAAGATTACAGGAGGAACCATCCAGGAGAGAGTTAATAAATTTCTATTTAACTACCGAATTACACCAACTCTGCAGGTCCAGTCCAAAGACTATTTCTACCTACGTAGGTATTAATAGCTACCTAGGTATTTAAAGCTACCCAAAGTAGCTATTTTTACCTACTTTCTCCTTTACTTGCATTTTGTGGCCAAATGCATGAACGGCGCAACATGGTGAGCACACAATTTCTTGATACAGTTACACTGATGATGAGTATGACAAAAATTTGGCCAAAAAATGAAAACTTCGTATTTCATCAATTTTGCAAAGAAACTAATGTAAAATTGCCGATTCAGGAAGTAATCATTTTTTCGCCAAAATTTTGTTGTATTCATCATTAGTGTGACTATATATCAAAAAATATGGTATTCACCATGTTGCGCCGTTTGGTCTTTTGGTCGCAATATGTAGAAATTATATAAAGTAGGTGAAAATAGCTACTTTTGGTAGCTTTAAATACCTAGGTAGCTATTAATAGCTACGTAGGTAGAAATAGTCTTTGGACTGGACCTGCTCTATAGGAGAACAAACCACCCTTGCAAGAAATAAAAGAATTTGTAGAATGTGCGACATGAAATGTGTGGAAGATGAGATACACTCACTGATTGAATGTCCATTATATAAACATGATAGAGATGACTTTTTAAATATTATTGCTAAAAGTAATAAAAATTTCTATACTTTAACAAATAAAGAAAATTCTTTATGGATTAAGTCTAATGTAAATCACATGTTGCTTATCAAGCTGGGTAATTTTTTAAACAATATCTTTAAAATAAAATATAGCAAATTATGCAATGTTTAACAGAGAAACAAATAAATACAAAAGAGAAATAATATTTATACTCTCCTAAAAAAAGCTTTATATTTACAGTTTGTTGATTAGTTATGTTGTAATCCCCAACTGCTGTATCATCATTTTTCTTTTATAGTTGCTACTATCAATTTTGAATTTCTTTTTGTATATTTTTCTTATTACTTGTATGCCCTGATGGGCCCCAAATTTGTATTAATAAATCTTATCTTATCTTATCTGTATTACATATAGTATAGTAAGCAGGAGAAAAATTGACCACATATAGATTATAAATATGTATTTCCATAAATGAAATAAAAAAAAATTAACAAATATGCTGAATGACAGTAGAGGGTCTTATAAATGAAAATATTCCATGCATGTATTATAGAAGCTTGATTTTTATAAGTTCAATGAGATCTATATTAGCTTTTAAGGAAATACAGCATACACATAATTCATTACACATGTAAAAGACTTTTTCCATAGAGATGCAAGATATTAATGACAGTTTAAATAGCACATGGTGAGAATAAGTATGACAAGTAAATTATAAAATAATCTGTATTACTTTGCATAGCAGTTAAAGTTACCCGGTAATTTCTGTCATGACTATAAAACAATCGGAAACAATATTATCCCAAAACAATACTGAGTAAACAAAGGTATTTCCTAAAGCAAATAAAATCATCTCTGCGTCCTCTGCACATACAAGAACTTCTCTGTTAAAATATTAGGTCAATTAAATTTCTGCTGTTGATGTCTATGTTTTTATTCATTATTGGATAATCCAGTTATCGACTTTGGAGAATTTTCTTCCACACCTTTGATAGTTTGTGCATTATTTTTATTTGAAATGTCACATCACACTGCTTTCAACTGTCTCCTTCTTTCGAACCCGGTCACAAAAGTATCCAATCTCGTAATTTTCGTAGATGAAGCTATACTCATCTATATAAAATGGTAATTTAAATTCTTGTTAACAAAAAGAATAAAGAATGGTTTCTTCTATAACTGAATGATCTGTACTGGAGCTGCCCATGGCAATGGAATACTATATTGATTGAATTCCCGTTTAAAAAAACAAAATTAATGGTTATTTTTCTAAGCTAAATGATCTCTGAAACTACCCATGGCAATGAAACGTCATTGATTTTTTTCTACAAATCAGGAAAATTAAGATAAGTGAACTCTGAAAGACTGCTTGATATTCAGGATTAGAAAAGATTTTTCAAGATTGCATTAATTTTAATGGTCTAGGTCCCACCCCTCAGATCAGGCACGGATCCCTGAAATTCACAATTTTTGTTCCCCCTTCACTCATAGATGCTGTACTCCAAATGTGGTTGAAATTGGATCAGTTGATCCTGAGAAAATTCAAATTTGACGAGCGACGTACGATGACGGACGAAAACAGATGTACAACGCCTATTCAGCTATAGGCTTTGTCTATCCCGCTATTCACATGATTCATACCCCAGTGACCACACAGTGTTTCGTCCCTGTTTGGTATTTACTCAGCTAACAAAATCTGTCAGCCAGTGCTAACTAGGAATGTCCCCGCTTTGATATGAATAAATACTATCATGTTAATATACACAAACTCACTTATGGAGAGAAACACAGATAAAAATGAAATTGACATCAGATTCATATCAAAATAAATCCCACCATATTGCATAATTCAACAAAGAATGTACTTAAACTTCAGGTATCTGCAATGAGCAGTTGCTAAGAAAACTGCGACGAAAATCTGTTTTGTATAAAACGCAGAGACACACAAACAGAAAGTTTACAAAAGATTTGACCAAAAAGTATCCCAACATATGGTATTTTATTATTAGGTGTGTGTATATTTATTTTATTAAAAGAAAAATAAGTAACGTCATGTGCCTGTGCATTAATTTGTCGACATTCGCTCCGTATTTTACTCAGCATACCCTGCATGTTATACATTCTACCTCGAATTACCTCAATTCTTATTGTTGTCTCCAAATAGTAATTTCACATTAAACGTGTTAAAGGTCCCCATTTTTTTTACTTGACATAGGCGTCGGAACCGTGGGAGGGGGGGGGGGTAGTGGCTAACCCCCTCCCCAACTTTTTTGCAAAGACAGACATAATACATAGGCATTTAAAGTTGGGGTTTACCTTGCCTTAAACCCCCCCCCCCCCCATCCATTTCAATTTGCTTCCGACGCCTATGCTTGCAGTGGCATTCAAACTTTCATTAAAATGTCAGAAATCATTTCCGGTTTTTGTACATTGATGGCTTTAAATGAAAAGTTCAACCCCCCCCCCCAAAAAATAATAAAATCGATCTCCGAATGGAATAACAGCCTAAAATAAAATAATTTACGATAGATACCTCTGTTCCTGACAAAAATCAAACCCTCTGTCTAAGCTGCAACATCTTCACAGGTACCCAATAATGACAAATCATTCCGATTTTTTTTTTGATCAACGACACCCCAAACGCAGCATTAAATACAATCGGTTCAGATCGAGAAAGGTATTTATACAGCCTCCGGACCATGGCTTGACAGGATGATGTGGGCGTTGCAAACTGTCAACCAGCTTTTCTCTTATTGGTCCTCTTGTACAAGTAACTTACACAATAGATATTAATTGTTTAATGGTAAATACTCACAGTTTTTAATTCACGAGGGGCGGAGCCCCGAGCGAATTAAAAACTGAGTGTATTTACCATTAACCAATTAATATCTATTGTGTAAATATAACTTGGCGATTCTTGGCACATTGGTTTTCTTGGTGATTCCTTACGATTTTGAGAGAGACTTCCTGATTATTCTGTTTTATGGACGGATCCTTTGTTCTTCAGCAGATTGACAAGGCGGGTAAATAATACTAATAGAATTGCCAGAACATCTCTATGATCTCAATTTTATAATCATAAAATGAAGCCAATATAACCATGTCACTGATAGCTTTTTGTTTATCAAGTAGATTAACTTCAAGTAAGTTGTGTATCATCTTTGATTAAAATGTGATGATTCATGTCGAATGATCTAAAGGGTGTTTGTATGTTTTTTCAGAAAGCTACAATTTTGCAGCTCATTATAGTCATAAAACAATATTTAAAAATAACTTATTTATGTCTCTGAAGATTAAAGCAAAGTAAATGTTTTAAACTAAAAGCTAAAATTGATTTAGGCTGAAACCGTTGTTGAAAATACATGGATTATTATCAAGGACGCAGCTCTGAAATCACCAAAACTTGCGTGTAAATGGGAGGGACCCTGCACTATAGTAAGAAAAGTGTCAGATTTGATTTACGAAATGAAGACTTCTTCAAATTCTAAGTCAAAAGTTGTACATATGAATAGACTAAAACCATATTTTGGGAGAATGAGAAAGTTGTTTATACCGCCCAGTGACAGAAGCACCCGTGTCCAGGGGACCCAAAATGCCCAATAATATAGTAGTCACTCAGACTAAAGATTGAAATGCACAGGAAGAAACAAGACCTTTCAGTTAAAACTGAAAGGCGGCTTTCAGTAACTTTTCAGTGGCCATTCAGCCACTGAATGGCACATACATTTCAGTGACCTTTCAGTCACATTTCAGATACCTTTCAGTCATCATTCAGCGGACACATTTCCGTCAACTTTCAGTGGCCTTTCCATCAACTTTCAGTGACCTTTCCATCAACTTTCAGTGACCTTTCCGTCGTCTTTCAGTGACATTTCCGTCGACTTTCAGTGACCATTCCGTCGAATTTCAGTGACCTTTCTGTCGTCTTTCAGTGACCTTTCCGCCACCTTTCAGTGATATTTAAGTCTCAATTTAGCAATTTTTCACAAGCGTATTATTCTATAATCAGACATTTTTCCTTAACAAGGAAGCAATATTTTGAATAAAGATTTATTATTCAATCTTAATTGTGTTTTTTTACTTATCGTGATCAAATTCAGGTACCTTAAAATATGTCTAAGTAATTATTATAATTTTATAAAATATGTGAGACTTATTCAAAATGATTTTTAATTTTTTAGTTATATTTAGAAAACAAAAATTCTTCAAGTGATAAAAAATGATGATCCGATAACCGATTCAAAATTTAAAATAAATACATAACATTCTATAGTGTTTGTACTTGTATTTTTACATGGAAATATATAGTTTTGATTGATGAGACAGCATATTACTTAAACCATTTCTTGTAGATCGTAAGTATTACTGATCAATTTCGTTTCTTAATTATGTCATTGTCAAAACTGCAGGATATTTAGTTTTTGAAAGACATTATTTAATTATAAAATCATTTTCAATTACAAGAATAAATAAATCGTTTATACATGCCTCTTGCAGAAAAAAATATATAGGAGATTTTAGCTTTCTAAATGATATTGTTAATAAAATCATTTTACTAAGTTTCTAGATAGAGAATTTACAACGATCTTAAATCTTTGACACAGGAACAGGTGCCCGTCTCTGATAATTGTCATCATCCCGATAGGAGATGTGTAATTAATTAGTCTGTCCCCAAAATCCGCGCAACTAACATAGAATATACAAAAGATATACAAGATATATACACATCGCAGCTCCTCGATACAACAGGTGAACTGATTGTTCCATCGATTTCTATAATTTAATTGATTTTAAATCCAACTTTCTCAACAAGACGTCGTAGCATAATTGATAACGTCGCGGACACCTAAGCAGGAGACCAGGGTTTGATTCTGCGCATGGGAGCAATTTTTTTCTTGTATTATTTTTTTCCTATTCTTTTTTTATTCGGAATTAGATACATTTAATGCTATTTTACCAGGAAAAAGTGAAATAAAATTTTAAGGTAAAAAAATAAGCCGATTATTCAATAAAAAGATTCAACTGAAAGATCACGGAAAGGTCACTGAAATGTATGTGCCATTCAGTCGACTGAATGGTAACTGAATGATCACGGAAAGGTCACGGGAAAGGGTCTTTTCAGTGACCATTCAGTGGCCATTCAGTCGACTGAATGGTGGATTTTCATCTTGTGATGTTTATACATGTAAATAGGTGTTAGTGGACTTTTGTATTTATTCATTTTCATGTATTATTAATGTTAACGGATATCTTGGATACCTTGCTGTTCCCTTTGAGGAACCCCTGCATCAATGTTATGACTGTGGACGGAGGTTCTTTTCAAAACACAAACTATCTCGTCACAGGAGGAATGCCCATGTTGACCGAGTTTTCTGTTCCTTCTGCTGTTATTCATGCCCCAAACCAGGAAATACCTACTTAAGAAACATGAAGAAACTGTACACCGTAGTTAAGATGGTAAGCCTGTTGTTGAAAACAAAAGATCCGCAGCAAAGACATGCCTACAAGAAACAGCTGAAAGACCGGTCTCTCCTGCGTATTCTGACGTTTCATCTGTGGCGTCTCTGCATCAGGAGGACCCATTGGATCTGTTGGACTTGGATTTTTATAAGATATATTTTCCTGAATTGATGTATCAGGACCCCAAGGATGCCAAAACCTTTATTCATGAACCTGTTCCTGAGTCGTTGGACACTCCTGCTTGCACTCCTGTGGAACCGGCATCCCCTGTTCCTGCAGTCACCGTCCTAGAATAGCTTGTGTTGAAAATGCAATTTGTAAAATGTTTCCTTATGCGAGTCTACACGTTTAGTATGGTTGTTTTATTATATTTTTCCCAGGGTCCTATTTCCTCGGGCTTTCGTCCCGTTTCATAATTACCACGTCTTGGGCTGGGTACTACAGCTTATCACATTGACAATAGCCAGTCCAGGGTGAGAGGGAGAGGCTTGAATTGCTCGTGCAGTTACTACCGCATATGTGAGAGAGAGTACGACAGCCCTGACGGACACCTCGAGACCAGCAATTTCAAGTTATTTGGTGATATTAAGAATTCACCTTTATTTGAAATAATATCAATATTCAATCCAAAGTTATTCCAGACGGCATTGTGAAAGTTTAAAAACTTTAAAATATGTGATATTTGTGAAATTATAATTATTCAATTTGATTGGTGAAAGAAAATATACGTTTACAAGAGGAAATTCAAAACCAGAACTCAAATCTTCTGCAAGGGTGTTGTGATTCATTTACATCGTTTTAAAGGACACTCTCGGGGATGTGCAGCTGATAGACAATTCATTTTTTTTTAATTTGTTTTGTAAAAATTTACTTTTGTTTTGTTTATTAAATTTTGTTAAAATTTCATTTTTTTTTGTTTCCTTCATTTATTCAAGTTCTTAAAGTGTATAACCCACATCTCAACAGTCATTAATTGCATAAAATTGAATCTACACTTTTTAAGGACAAATATTAATGGATGTATGACTTACAATTTTTAGGTCACCTGAGTAAACTCAGGTGACCTATTGCTATCTGTTTTCCTCCGTCGTCGTGCGTCGTCCGTTAACATTTGAACATTTTCGCTTCTTCTCTGCAACCACTGAACCAATTTCAACCAAATTTGGCAAAAAGCATCTATGGGTAAAGGGGAACAAAAATTGTGAATTCCATGGTCCCTGCCCCCTGGGGCCTGGGGGTTGGGGCAAAAAACCACTAAAATTAATGCAATCTTTAAAAATCTTCTTTACTCCTGGACATCAAGCAGTTAAACTGTTTGCATGATTGTAATCAGCATTGAGTTCTCTACCAAAATGATGAAATTTATGGCCCTAGGGTCAGGGGTTCTAGTGTTAGGGCGGGGCTCTATAGATTTCATAGTGAAAATTCATTAATTCTTTAAAAATCTTCTTCTCTGCTCCTGAGTATTAAATAAACTAACAAAGTGCATAGTTATAATGTGCAAGAGTGCCTCTACCAAATTTGTGAAATTTATGGCCCCGGGGTCAGGGGTTCTAGTGCTAGGGTGGGGCTAAATAAGTATATAGTGAAAATGCATTAATTCTTTGAAAATCTTCTTCTCTGCTCCTGGGTATTAAATAAACTAACTAAGTGCATAGTTATGATGAGCAAGAGTGCTTCTACCGAAATTGTGAATTTTATGGCCCCAGGGTCAGGGGTTCTAGTTCAAATATTTTGAAAAGCAAGGATGCCTTTTCAAAAATTGTGCAATGTGTGGATATAGGCCTAAGGGTCAGGGGTTCATGTGTGATAGGGGCATTACTGATTATTGCTGAATATTACTGATTACTTGAAATGCATTTTTTGTTCCTCCACCCTGCTTATGGGTATTAAGTGAACAAACTTAGCAACTGCTAATTGTATTGTTATGATGATCAAATGGTGCCTCTTTCAAAATTGTGAATGCCATAGTATCTTGCTTAAAACATGAATCAAATTAAATCACTGTAAAAGTTGTATAATGCTCAGGTGACCTATAAGGCCCATGGGCCTCTTGTTGATCAAACGCTCTTTTGGGTCTGCTCATGTGAGGTAAATAAAAAACATATTAAAAAGGTTAACTAGACCAACCAAACACTCGTATGTTCAAAAATGATCATTGAATATGAAGCATGCATACAACATAAAACTGAAAGAAGTCTCACCTCTACTTCCCCTTGCCCTGAATAATTTGACTGCAGGATTCTTGTTTTTCATTATCTGAAGTCGCCCGCGTGGCGCAATGGTTAGAGCGTCTGCTCTAGAATCGCGAAGTAAGGAGTCATTCCTTACGTCGCGGGTTCGAATCCCACTGCGGGACGTGGACAGCGGTCCTTCGGATGAGACCGTAAAAACCGAGGCCCCGTGTAGCAATAGGTGCTAGCACGATAAAGATCCCCCACTGCTCAAAGGCTCAAAGGCCCTGAGTGCCGACCATAGGACAAAATTTGTAGCCCTCCACCGGCAAGTGGTGGCGTCTCCATATGAGTGAAAAATTCTCGAGAGGAACGTTAAACAATATACAACCAATCAATCAATCAATATCTGAAATAAACACTAAGACATAAAAAAAATCATGATTTTTATTATGAGTTTATCATGTTTATGATTTTTTAATCAATATGCACAGCACATTTACAACAACTTTGCAAACTTTACAAAAGTTGATTTTACCATGATTTAATTTGAAAATACATTTTTCTTATTGGTAATAGAGGTCAAAGGCATCTTCTGCTTTTGTTCTTTTAAAGTCGATCCTTGGTGATCTTTCAATATTTCTTTTACTTATTAATATGGATGGTGAAAAAACACAGATACTAAACCCGCAGGCATGTTTTTGAAGCTATCTTAGGACTAAGAAACGTCTTCAGATATACTTACGACAATTCTTAAGACTGAGTGGGGTTTTCGAAAGTATCGTGACTTCAGAAAGTTCTTATAAGAATTATCTTAAAGTTACGACAACTTCAGACATTAAATGTATTCAAAACTGACAGGTGATTTCGAAGAATTTCTTCCTTAGAAAGGAAAGTATGAGTATAAGTAGGATTACCACTTGTAGAATTAAATCCAGGTTCTTCTAGAATGCAATTTCTACAATGAGGCTTACAAACGAAGACAATGTACGTACTGATAGTGTAATCTATCTAATTCTTTTTTCACAAGGATAGATGGTTTACAAAACCTACTTAGTAGGTATTATTACATTTTTACCCGTGAAATACTGTAATTTATTCATTGAATAAAAATGATATCCTGTCACACCGTGAAAGGATATCAAAATGATATCCTGTCACAGTGTGATGAATATCAGAAGTGCGGGAAAACTCTTGATTTCCCTCCCATAACGAAGATTGTTGTAAAAGAAATCTACCTTGACCTAATGTAGGATAGATCAAAATAAATAAACCACTCTGACAGAGAATAAATCTGTTAAAATTACCAATAATATGTTGCTAAATCCATTTTTACAGTGTTTTCACCTCACATTGACGTCACGAGCCTATGACTGTATAACAAAAGACAGAGGCAAAGGAAAAAATCAAAGAATTTTATTTTAAAAATGTAATAAACAGAAAATTCAATGTTTCGTAGTTGAATATGGAATTTATTTCACTCGTGAGACAGGATTTTTGATATTTTCACTCGTGCTTCGCACTCGTGAAAATATCAAAAATCCTGTCCCACTCGTGAAATAAATTCCATATTCAATAACAAAACATTGAATATCCTCTATATACTTTACTTTCATCCTGGTCAGTGCTTATAGAAACGTTTAGTAGTTCTCGGGATTGAGTTTCTGCAAATTTTCTTCCACTAAGGAATACTTCCCTGGCGTCAAATATACTTCGTCCTGTTGTTTTTTGTCCTTCACCTTTATTTTTGGATTTGCCATGGATATTGGACATCCATTTTCAAATCTTTCTACATTATCACCAAAACCAATGTACATATTTGTATCTCTCCCGTCCTTTATCATGAATTATGAACAAAGCCTCTATTGGCTCTATGTTTTCTTTCAGCAACGCTATCTTCTTTCACTGTTTCAGATTTCTAGATTTAGACATTCTTAAAGCTTGAAGCTTATTTTTGATTCTGTCATTTTCACTTGCACCCTGATGTGTCTTTCCTGGGTTTTATTCTTCTCTTCTGTTTCTCTGTCGGTGTTGATTTTGAAAGAAGAAAAAAAAACATGAAATTGAACTACCATGGTACACTCTTCACATCACTGCACCATGTGTACAGCATGTACTCATTTTTCATGGCCTCTGCTATACGTTTTATTTCGATCCTCAGTAACCTGAGGTGAATCTTTCAGGGCTGCTTCTATGCTTTAATTCCCAACACATGAACTCATGCAAAAATCTTAACACCTGAAGTCATGCAAAAATGCCGCAACTTTTAAGTGTAGCTGACATACTTTTAGCATCCATTTCGACTCCTGACAAGAGAAAATAAAAATTATTAAGCCTTATATATTTCCTGTAACCAAGCATATGTAATTTCTTTCTATAGCAAACCTCTCATGTTAATTTATTACATTTATATCGATTTTTAAATATTTTTTTGGTAAATTCTTTTTACTTTACCATAGCTAACTCAATTTTTCAAAGTTAAAATCAAATGTCTTATCTTTAGCCTTCTGTATAATATTCTATATTTGCAAAAGTAGTATATAATGACTAAGAGCTGTGTAATTTCTTACATTCAGTTTCTTGCTCTATGTAATCGTACAGGCCTTTAGCAGATTTGTTTCCTGAAGTGTCTGAGGAAAATTCCTGCCCATTCTTTAAGGTACTTTTCACGGGGAGACCTGCAAAGTTCTCAATATTGAACTATACATCAGCTAACAAAATTTCATGGGATTTGTTTTCTCCTCGAAAATATAAGTATAAAAAAACTTCATTGATTTCCTTTAATGTTGCTTTTTAGACGGAGGCTGTATGACAGCCTCCGTGTATAGGGATTGTCTTGCCCATGGAATGTAAACAGGAAAGATTTCCCAAGCACCATCTATCGGTGGAATTGTTTTCATTACCTTGAGTATTCTATTTTTAGAGCGACTCTGCGTTACACCGACCGCAAGGATAGGCATAGTCTAAAACAAAGATCGCGTCACATACAAGTACATGTATAAACAAACAGTTCTACTTTTTCTAAATAAACAGGATTTGTCTAATATTTTTTAAAATGACGTGTATATAAATACATTTCCTACGGAATATGTAAAAAAAAAAAATGTGATTTACTATTAATT